CCCCCCCCCCCAAAGTCGCTGCAACTTGAATCCTTAATGACCCACCGCTCCTCTGATTTGTGCAGCCCTACTGCAACGGATCACATCCCTCCCTCCCTCTCAATAGCTTCCCTCTATGTCTGATTAAACAGTCATCGCTCTATCATATAAATGTTAAGAAACTTCTTTCATTAAAAGGAAAAATATCATTTAGAAATACAATTTCAATGGATAATGGAAAAGCAGCACATATTTCTAAGCAACAGCCACAGTGATTGGCTGTTATTTCTGGCTCGGCTATAATGCTTAGGTAGGTCTCACTTTTCATTCACACATGGGAAGTTATTTTCACGTTATCATGATTACTTATGCTTTTCTTTCAAGTTCTAAAACAAAGCTGTGAACACTTCTCTGCTTTTAATTATTCTGTAATACAGCTTCCAGAAAATAATTTCTGGTCTCTTGAGAATTATTTTACACTGCCAGCAGATTAATCAAAACTTCCACTGAAGTAGGTTTTCTACAAAATATGTGTTGTAGCATTGTCCTAAAATGACAAAAACCATTATTATTAAAGATTGTTTCTCTTGAGATAAACTTCTTATCTCAAACAGCTTCCCCATTCTCCTCCACCAACTTGTTTCCTGCAGACAACTTCTAGGCTACCTTTTCATGGCCTATGGAGAAAGGCAAACCCATTGCCAATAGGGTTACTGTGCTACACGGACATTCAGATGCACCCCTGCACAGGTCTTCATGAAGACCTTGCGAACCCCAGAGAACTCCCCCAGTAGGTGAAGTTACATAAGCTGCCTTTTTTTTTTTCCTGTCTCAGCTGATGTCATTTTAATTGAAACTCTAAAAAAAACAACTCACTAAGCATTTCTGCATGGATGCAGAAGGAATTTTTCCCAAGCTGATCAATCCAAAGCCCTTCTGCAAGACAAGAGAAGTCCAAACTTTTTTTCCCCCCTTTTAAAAAGAGGGAAAAAAAAGCTTCATTCTTCTTTTCTATAAATTCAACCCTCCAATCACTAGGACTTACTTGTACTCAGTAACATTCAGAGCAACCAGACCTATGACAAGCTGCGAGGAGAGGAAAGGTAAACGCCTGACACTGATGTGCTGTTCTGTGCCAATGGGATTTCTGCATTGAGGCAAACATTCGTAGGAGTTAGGTTCCATGTATTGTTTCTTTGCAATTGCAGCTTTTAAGGTAATGGATAATTAACTTTTGGTGCTTTAGATAGAAAGTGATTGATAGCAGAGGTTAGAAGAGATACTTTTCCTAACATTACACATGCCCATTGTACAGAGAGCTGCATTATCGTTCCCCTAACTGATCATATATCCGCTGGCAGTAAAAGCAGGATATCAATTTCTGTACTAGTGGCTTGGTGCAGAATGAAAAAGCCACACTGGCAAAAGAGGGCCTTCTACATGATGGAAACCTTTACTACGGCTGTGACCTCAACAAACAATGAGATGCCTTTGAAATGTATGTCTTTGCAAAACAACTGACATAAAACCACTAATATAATTCAGGTGATGGTTAGATGTTTTGCTCTGCTGAAGTATAAGTTGCTATTTAACTGATCTTTGCTTTTCTGAATGCTTAAAAACACGTCCAGAACGTGCTAGAACAAATACCTCAGTTTCTTCCGGCCCTTCCTCCAGCAACCTGCAGAAAGAATATTTCTCCAGCAAAACAAATGATATAGCCTAGCATCTTCATGCAAGACTGATATCCAGCATTTTAATTGAGAATCTAAGGGTTAGATCTACCCTTTCCCTCCCCGAAAAGAACTAACCAACCCCCAAAAAGCAATTTAGGTACCTAGTTTTATCTAAGTCCTTGAACTGCAAGACTGAAATTGTTATGTAAAAGATGACTTCCCTGACAGTACCTAGATGACAGCTTGGTTTCAATGCCAAATTTCTTCATGCGAGTCCCCTGAAAGGCTCTGTCCAACAGAAATGATTTTAAAATGTCTGATAAACACTAAAGGCTCAAAGCTTTTCACGACACTATCCAAAGGAGACGTGCTGCCTTTTTAAATCATATCCTAGTGATAACAGAACGGGTCCACAGTGCAGGATCCCAGTTTCAATTCTTTTTGCTGCTTCCTGAGATTCAGACTGCAGCCTCTTTCATCCCCAAAGCCTGTTTTAGCCACCAAGTTACTCTGGATGAGGGACACACGCAACGCTGCTTCCTGAGTCAACGTCACACTGCACCAGAGAATGGAGGCATTTGTTAGCGGATAGGGAAAACTCCACCTGAGTTCTGGTCGCAGCTCAGAAGATCTTTTGTTTACTTTAAACAGCCATTAGTTGCAATAAATAATCTTTTAAGTAAGAATCAAAATGAAACAGAGCTTTAGATCCAGCAAAGCTTATAATCTGAAACAAGTCACCAAGCACAATTCTTCACTCTGCTCATTATATTGTTATTGCAACCCTATCTTCTCCTTCATTCACATCTTTAGACTTTAAGCCCCCTCAGTGTAGTGATTCTTTGCATAAATGTTTAACAATTTAGTTGGGTACTACCACAGTATAAATATTTACTATTACTGATCACTAAACAGTCCCTCTCAAAATGCAAACCTCAGGCACGCCAAGAACTGTTTGGGGCAGTTGTTTCTGAGGCCAAACCAATGCGCAAAGTTGTTGAAAGGGAGTAAATATCAGTTAATGAGCACATTGATAGAGCTGAAGGTAAGGGAAGAAAGATGGACCAAAAAGATTTGAATTTGTTTAGGAGGAAGATGGCTACAAATATAAACCAATAACTGTATGAAGTCATAAAGAATAAGTAAAGAGCTTCAAAGCTCTGAAATGCACCACAATGTTTGTAAAATCTAGTCTTTTTGTTGGGAAAATGATTATAAATGGATGGCATACTCTATCTTATCCATCTGTCAAAACTAAAGATTCTTGATGGCTTCCTTCCTTGGAAAGGAAAAACAAAATTGTAAAACACACTCAAGCTCTCGCCGTTTTCTATAAACCTCAAAGGTTTTTGACCATGTCCTGCCTGACCTTTGCACAAGGGTAAGACCATTAGGTCACTGATACTAGACCAGCAAAGGTGCTAAATGAACAATCACACACATACACTCAATAACCCTATGCTATCCTTTTTTTTTTTTTTTAACGTTTCTTACTGTGCCCTCTTTTTTTTTTGTTTTCTACCGTCCTTCTGTCAAAAAAGGCAAGATCTCAGCTGCCAACTGCTAAGTCTAAGATTTCACTACCCACAGGAACACTTGACAGCTCATAAAACAAGATAAGTTCACCCCTGCCCTCTCAAAAAGGACATTGCTTTGTTTAAACAACTACTAAATTTTTATTCTAAAATGTTTCATACTTTATTTTTTCCTGTCCTTCAGTTTCACAACGTGCATTAAAAATGCTTCAAGCCCCCGTGCTCGTAAACAGCGTTCATACACTTAATGCTGGAAAGGGCTCCATTAAGAATTTTCATTGCCTAAGACTATGCCATCAAAGAAATAAATTTACCCTTTCGTTTGCAGTGTACTTAGCATGACTGACTGTTAATTCTAATCAGAGCATATCGTAATGTAAATAGCAAAATTAACTTTAATAGATTTGGGAGGAACAACAGGACTACAGGGAGCTCAGGAATAGGATTCAACCAAATTTCCAGAGTTTAGAGATGACAGACACCCAGGGATTTTCAGACCGCACAAGAGAAGTTAAGAGTGGCCTACATAAACTTTGTAAACCTCAGGAGGACTGCCTGAGGAGACCTTCCAAAGAGACTCCGTCAAAACTCCACCTAAAACATAGGGAGGAGTCACTGAACTTTGTATGACGATAATGCATTCTTGTTTCTTTGGTGTTTCTGTGGCTCTATATGGAAAAGAGCTCAGTTTCTTCCCGGCATGTCCCCCACTGCCTCCCAGGTTCCTGAGCCTCTCTCCTGTCTGCCAGCTACCTTTCTACAGGCATCAACGGTGACACGGGGCCAGGAAAGAAAAGTTACAAGGGAATTTCCTCTAATGGAGATGTGGCTCTCCCTAGGCTCTTGGGAAGAGGAGGAGAGTGCTCCAGGCTCTTCTGTCGGGCCTGAGAGCCCAAGTTGAGCAGCTATAAATAGAAGTTCCCTAGTGTAGCTCATTTGCTAAGAGCCAGCCTTGCAAAGAGAGAAGGAATTTTTTTTTAAATCTGAAAGCCTACCGAATAACACTTATATACGAGTATTGCCAAAGCAATGCTCCCCAGTTCAAAAATTCTTGTTTTAACATATTACAGCACTTAAATTTGAATGTCTAAATCAGACTTCATCTAAAGACTGGTAAAGGGGGAAATTACTTTCTTTGTTTTCCCTTGGGGTTTTTAACTAATGCCTGTTTTAACTCTGACTTACAAAAATTTATTCAAACTCATCTGCAACGTAATTTCTCTGAAGATGCATTTGAAAATTGAACTCTGCATCACAGATCACAGTAATCAATCTGAGGCCACTGAGGCGTTAAGGTTGTAGTCCTTCAAGGAAACGGTTACAAAAAATTCCTTTACCAATTATCTACAGAGCCTGAAACAAAAGCAGAACGTTTGAGACTACAGTCAAAGTTTACTGTTGCTGAGACAAAGCACCACATCCTTAACTACTTTCCAACAAAAGGACAAACTGATTATCAGTTACATCATCAAGTTCTTTGCATCACATCCAATTTGAATAGAAAGCAGTTTTAAGGTGCTTCAGATAACAGCTGGAGCCCCAGTGGTCACATGCTGGCAACGCCCTCCAGCGAGTCCCCACCTCACTCTAGCTAAAGTTACTGAAGAGAAGGGGGCACTATGTTGATTTTGTACATCTGGGCTTTTTTGTAAACTGAAAATCCCCAGTAAAAGAAACGGATCCCTTTGTGCCGTTTGGACTTGAGCAGAGCAAAACTGAAGCTGGCTGAAACACCAACTACTGCTTCAACCTGAACTATTTCAGTTCTCAGACCGACAGCTTGGACACTCCTGCTATACGCAGCGCGTTTCATTGCATCTCCTTTTCTGTATTCAGCTGTGTGCAACCTCAATGACTGAAAGTTTCTTCCTGCTGTAAGTCTCAACATTTACACATTTTACACACTAAAGGCTCATTTTTGGTGAGTAAGACCCTTCATCTGAACTGAACAGGAAAATGAAGTGTCACAGAAATGCAAATTTTATGGTCTTATGAATCACAAAAGCTTTGTACATCTGACAAATCAAGTCACTTATGGAAAACAACGCTTACCAGTGTTGTAGGCGGTAGGCATGGCCGAATACACCAGTCCCTGCGGAGGCAAGCTTGGAGTTGTCACAGACACCACAGGGGTAGCAAGAGGCTGTGTAGACTGAGAACTACTTATCCTTTGGGTATTCTATAAGTGATTAGACATAACAACGTCTGGTTATATCAGTTAGAACAATGGAAAATTATGTGTTAATATAAAAATAATATTCAATTAAACGTGTTTCTTTGCCTTATTTCTATTGAAACACAAATCCTTTTTGTCTGGATGGATTTTCTGCTACAAAATATTTCAAATGCTAAACCAAATCGATCTTGGCAAACTAAAATGAAAAATGAATTAACACTCACTGGTCCCCTTCCCCTGCATGCAGACGTCAACAGTGTTAATTTGAGTTACAGGACAACTCTACCATTTTCAGAAGTTCTTCAGTGATTTAAAAGTTTTAAGTCTCATTTTTAAAGGGGATTTAAGGCACATGGTGAGGTGCAGTTCCATTAGAAAAAAAGAGATTCCCATTTTCCAGTTACTTATCTCATTTTCAAAATTTAAGCTGCCAGCTTTGGCACTGTGCTAACTGCACCTGTACTAAGAGAAACAGAGCTCTTCTCAATTTTTGTGTCGGCAAGACCTCGATGATAAGATAATCCTGCAGTTCCCGTGCTTCCTGAGAAACTGAAAGTACGTATTATAATGCAGATTTGTTTTAAAGCACACGACCTTTCAGTTCACACAGAACACCTGTGCTTTTTGACAGGAAAAAAGGCTAAACTATATTGTCTCAGATTTTCTGCTCTAACTGTAGGCGTGAACTGGCCTTTTAATAACAGTCTTTATATGCCATACACTGGAATGAACATCTGTAGCAAACATATCATTCAAATTAAGCCCTTCAACAAAATTTGCTGTTTAGAAAATCACAGGTTGAAAGTTTTACTTAAATATTGTGGTGAATACCACCAGAGAGCACAGCTACTCCGCCACAAAATGCACTGGTATTCAGGAAGGCACCTTGAAACCTTTTTTCAAAATATGCAGTTCAACACCACTGAACCTCGCCAGATGGTGACAAGAGCAGGCAGCACTGCATTCTTATTCTTAAACAAGACATGCTTATAGTTTTACCTACAGATATCTTTACTTTACTTTCCCTGTATTCTGTATTTGTGTATCTCAAAGAAACATTTGAGATCAAGGGAGCTAAATTTCAAACTACTTTAAATGCTTTTTTAAAAGCAATCTTCCTTCTATCTCCGAAAAAAAATATATTTGCTGTAATAGCAGCTTTTCAAGTCTTTGGGAGAATTTCCTAACTTTAAATGAATGAGGGAACGTTATTACTTTTTCTCATTTAGGGCAGACATACAAATATTTCAGTATCTGCAGTACTTTATTTTTTCTCCACTCTGATCTTGAAAGAGTGAGCAATATTAAAAATGCATGTTTCCCTTTATAATAATAATGGAATGAGCAGGTACAGAAAGATGGCTCTACTCGATTTAAGCTAAAACTTGCAAAGATGAATAGAGGGCCATCAATGCTGGACTTGTATCTTTTCAGTTTAAAAAAAGAAAAAGTATATCACAGCTACCATGTTAAAATTGGCCACAATCCTCCATTAGCTACAACCTTCTGATCGCCATTTTATCTGGATGCCGTGGAAAGCTCACCTTTGAGGCTCATAAATAAGAATCTGGAGACTATTTTGAATGGTTTTTTTCCGCAAAGAGGTACCTACTTTGCTTCAGGCTTCCCAGATTTCAAAAGCCCTACAGTCAAAGAGAAAGTCCCACTGATTTTCTACATAATTTATCCTTTTAAATCACTCATGTACTTCTGAAAATCTCCACTAGGCCAAGTTTATTTGACATAAAGATATGTTATTGAAGCAGATTTTTGTGTCTGTCAGAAATTGACCTTTTTCCAAAGGTTTCTTGGATGGCAGCCTATAAAGTTGGGATTAGTGTATAATGGAAAAGTTAGAGGCGCATACTGGGAAACAATCCAGACCAAAGGATTTCCCCATGGGAATTTTTTTTTTTTTTTTTTTTAATAAATCTGGTTTTCTGAGGAGACTTATTTCTGAATATAACTCCTAAACACTCAGCCATACAAAGCCACTGAGAAACATTTCAACGTGTCTAACGTTTCTTGTACTCGGCAACTCGGTCAATCAGGAAGATTTGCGACATCTTTCACAATTGTTTTTAACTAGTGCAAACGATAGCAGTAAGAGGAAGAATTTGATCCCTGCTATTGTTGCTATCCTCCTCTGTTTTACATATTTTAAGTATTTTTAGTTCCAGCCAGCCAGAACTAATGTTCACAGACATGATTTGGAACTGTTTCCTAGCATTAATTAGCATGATAAGGGAGGTAACGTTACAGGTGTACTTCGCACTTCTTTACGATGTTTAGGAGTTTTTGTTTGAGAAAGATGCTACCACTTTCCTTTTTTGTGTACTTTTCCTTTTTTGTTGTTTCCTTTTTTTTTTCCCTTTTTTTCCTTTTTTGTTTTCTAACAGACGAGCCCCTCTTTATAACCACTAGAGGGCCCACTCGACATATAGCATCCATAACTCAAAATACTCTTTGTTAAGTCACACCATTTCACACCGCAAAGAGCACAGCAATTCTAACGGTTAGCAATACCTCAACTCAAGTGACTTTACATCATTCCAATGATATTGCTATTAAATGGGATTTTTTATGTTGACTTAAAGTTCTACGTCTTGTACTGGAAGCCAGACACCTCGATAAAGGTGAGAAAAATACATATGACACAGCTGTTTATCTCAGCTCAATTAGCAAGTTATTCCAATAAAACGATTTAAAAAAAAAAACTTAAATACTGGCTTTTTAAAAATCATTTCCTCTTATTGACTTTTGTAAATCTATTGCTCATGTTTAAGGTAAAAAAAAAAAAAAATCAAGCAAACAACAGCATGCATTCATTAAGAAATTTATCTAAATCACTACATTCCCCATGCTTTCATGCAACCAGAGCCTCATATTAGCAACAGGTCCATGTTCAAAAACAAATCAAGGTGCATGACTTGCAGAATTCTCTGTGTAGCTTTACAGTCACACTCTGATGCAGCACCCTTTGCATGATTTGTGCTGCAGCAGCTAAATAATTTGCAAACTGCTCTAAAAATAAGTTACGAATTATTTTAGCCTTATGTTATTTTCCAGACAGAATGCCAAATGTTAAAACCTTTTGGAAAAAATAGAAAAACACAAATCCCCAGAGTTTCCTGTCAAAACCAGAATATCTTTCCACTGGAAAAAGGTAGAATTATTCTTTTGCAATTCTCTGTTTCTTTTGGTAAACAGGGAACACCCCTGTGGTTTGATAATCTCACGCAGGATGAAATAATTCTAAACTCTAAAAAGGTGACCTCACCAGCAATGATGTAATCTCCATGAAAGTAAGGGAAGTAATACAGGGCTTGTGTTACAATCTGAAGAACTTCATGAGTGAAGCCACTTTCTAAAAATATTTCCATAATTTAGGGGACTATAAATGGTTATTTATATTTTCTTAAAACTCAAAAGCATCCTATATACATGGACAGTTACTCTGTAAGGCTCTTTTCCAATGTTCCCTCCGAGAAAAATAAAAAGTTTTTTCAGAAAAAACAGAAGTTTACAAATAGAAAATGCTAGACTTTGGATGTGTTGTCAACTTGAATTGGTGGGGTTTTGGTTTCGGTAAGACAAATATATTTTTGTCTGCTACTAAGGGAACACTGGAATTACTTAAAATACGTCATGAAACTACAGTTTAAAAACTGTAGTAGAAGAAGTTTTCAGCATCTTGCTCTGTCTCATCAAACACGAGCCCAAACTCACCAACTCCAATTCATCCTCCTCCGACTGTACTCAGCAAACAAGAGGGATAACACAGTTACTAACAATAGCATTGCTTTCAAAAACGAAAGAAAAAGTCACGTTCGTGCTTCAGGATTTTTACACGTTTTCATTAGCAATGTGAATTTCCCACCTGATTCTGTAAGTAACGCTATTAGCAAGTATAATACTTTACGTAATTTAGAGCAATTAATAAAAAATACTGTACTGAAAAGACACACACCATGGTGAAATTAATGCAGAAAGAGCTACTAAAAGAAAAGGACATAACGACACACTGACGTCATATGGAGACAGGGAACACATCAGTTTCTGGCAGAACTGATCCAATAAACGTCTAGGTCAGTAACAAAATATTTTTCACGCATAATCATCATGCCATCCAGGCACCTCTACTCTGAAATATCTTTCCAATTTCCCCAAGAAAGAGACAAAAACTAAATTGAATTGTATGTCATTCTTGAGAATGAAACAGTAAATACGTACTGTATACTACTAATATTAGAACTACTGTATTACAAATATCCTCATGTATCTGTTTCTACTAAATTTGAAAGTATAGTTTTCACTTTAAAAATCAGTATGTTTCCTTCTATCTTCTATACTTTGGTATTCCTAGACAACCTAAAACTTTAGTAACTGTTACTCCAAACCTTACCGCATCTTCTGTTGCTCAGATTGATTGTGTATGATTTAGCGTTTAATACCAGTAATAATTGTAACCACTTGTAGTATCTTGAAAACACAGAACTCTATAGATAGGTCTTATATTATTTATCCCCCCTGCTCCTTCCGGTTACGGTTCATCCTTCCATATTCAGAAAAACAGAAAACGTACACACAGATGTTCAAAATTTCTACCTGACTATGAAAGACTAAAGACCAAAGGATTTGGCCAACCAAATTAATGGAAGAACTGAGTAACACTCTTCCCTGATAGGCCTGTTCTGGCCTCTGTGCTGAGGAGGCCTCATGTCTGACGTGTAACTGGTGTGCTATGCTAAACCTAGGCTGAGCAAACATTACTACCCACATGCCAAACTGCAGTGTAGTATTGAAAAGTAAACAAATAGCAACTAAGGACTGATCCTCGTTACTCTTTTGTGCCTTCACTGAAGACGCAAGACATCACTGAAGCAGCCAACAGAGGACGTGAGAGGTTACATTCCAGCACGCTATGCCAAACAAGGTATTCCTCTCAGACCATAATTTCCACTAAGCCACATTTCACGCCCTACAAACATTACAGCCTAGGAAAAACAGATATGTGTGTGCTTCGGGTCACGTTAATGCTGCTCACGTTACCAGTAAGATCAACTATTCCTGCATAGAATAATACATAATCCTTTTAAAAACTCAATTCCCCAACCCGACAGATTTCCCAGTACCAACCAGTCAGAGAGATGACAAATAAAAACCACAAAGCTCAAATCTTTGTCTCTAGGATTGCACTCTAACCACATTTAGGTCAGATGACTATTTTATATTTAAGAAAAAAAAAAAGTCTTAAAATGTACTTTCTCCAAGGAAGAAATGTATAACTTAATATAATTTTTATTAGTAAAAATTCTGAACGCAAAGGCCTTTCTATTGCGATAACGTACAGTAAGCGCTTGAGATGGTTTGTCCCTGTGCACAGGAACAGAACGCTTCGTTTTTACCCTAAACGTAAAGCCAACTACAGAACAAATGTTTTAACTTACCAATGGTGGCATCATACCCTTGCTGGAGGGCGGGATGACAACACGGAGGTCTGGTTTGCGATTGTTCATTCCAAGATTACCTCCTCCAGGCGGAGGTGGAGACTTTGTAGGCATGACTTTGCCTAAGCCATTCCCACCACCAGTAGTTCCAAGTAGACTTGGTGAGGCGCGAGAGTTCACAAACCCATTTCCTGAAAGAGGAAAAACAAGTGCACCTTAATACTGAAGGGAAGAAGTAATACAAAATTTTAGTCAGACGTACAAAAGGCATAATATTACTTCCATGAAATTTTCAATAGCAAACTTTTCACAATAGGAACAGCAAAGAATAATCATACAAACAAGAAATGCTCTTACCAGAAGACCAGTACGTAAAGGTAGTATCACATCAAGGGCATATTGTAGCAGATTAAATGGTGAGAAGGGCATATTGTCAAAGAAGTATTTCTAATATCTGATTTTTTTATTTTGCCCTTTGAAGTTCTTCCAGGCAAAGCTAGCAAAAAAAGCGTACCCTATTTCACCCCACAGCCCCACAGGGAACCTGAACTGTAGTGCACTGTTGCCTCTGTGAACAAAAAAACAGCCCCTGAAGTCTCCAATTCTAAAACGTCGTCTTTAAGTATAAGATCTACAAGATTCCAGGATCTATCCTCTAATAACAGTAATTTCAGTCTCAAAAATATACACTGTCTGATTATTATATTTAGCAAGGATGAGGAGAACAAATCCATCTTCTCAACATTCATTCCAAGCTCTGGGCAGAGACATACATATCAGCTATGTCCATCAATTTATTTTACACAGGTGTTTTGCCCCCTTACTCCTGATACTCATCAAGGGGGAATTAGACAAGCCAGAGCCTCCAGGTGCTGACTGTCAGCCCCGAAATCTCCAAAACATACTGTGCTCAAGATATAGGCCTTAGATCTCACTCAAAATAGGTCAGAAAAAAGTAACGGGACACTAAAACAATTATGTGCATTGGTATTCTGTTTTCCTGTAGCAATTTACACAGGCACTTATCATGTTAATTGAAACATACTTTCAGATACTCTTTGAAAGCTGCATTCCAACAATTTTATCAGATTTTTTTAGCAGCAACTTCCAAAGTACACACACCTTATTCAGCTGCAAATTAAAAAAAAAAATTGTAAATGAGGGAATTTTACAACAGGGAGAGGCAAACTCTATGGTTCACACTACAGAACTTGTGCATATGAGTGTATGAATAGGTACAATTTATAATGAGATTATGTTTATGCTAGCCGTTCCAGTTATGAAAGTGGCCTTTATAGTCATAATTCAGGGGCAAGCCTATTACACAAAGCTCACTTTGTGTGAAATTCTCTTCTAATAGCCTGTAGCGCCATACCGGCATGAATTTTGTACTATTATTCTAATTTGACTAGGCCCCTGTGCTCAATCTAATTTTATTACATCAAGTACACATTAATTTAAAGGCAATTAAAATAAGAAAGTTGTCACTGTCACGTTCTACTATCTCTAGCAAAATTTCTAACGCCTTTAAAAGCTCATCAAGAACGAAGAGCAATAAAACCTATCAGTAGAACAGTACAACACTTGATAAAGGTGACTGGTACCAATCAGCTACTTAGCTAACAAAGGCTGAGAACCTGTAAATTCACCAGGATGTTAATGAGGAAGCATCCTCTATTAGCACTGACCCTTGTTACATTTTTTTTGGGGGGGGGGGGGGGGGGGGCCTGCCACAAACGGCCATTTTCATCTTTTCCCTTCCCCCATAAGTGGAATCCTGTGTCTTAATTGCTGTTTTATAAAAGTCTTTCAGAATATCCTCAGATCAGTTACAATTCTTAACGTTAATCTTCCGGGTTTTTTCCATAGTTAAATTTATAAAAACAAATTAAACTACAGCTAAACATTTTTAAAGAAAAAAATCTGAACATGGGTGGAACTTGCTAATCTGAAAGTAGCAATCACAGTATCCTCATTCACAGTTGGATGAGCAGTAAATTCCCAGTTTAAGGTCAGCACTGCAAGTTCTGGCTTTACTTTGTTTGCGGATTTCCTACTCTGCCAAAACCTGACCAAACAAGGAGGATCTGATACATCCCTTGGGTTTTTCAAGGCTAAGAGGGAGGAGTCTTTTCCAACTTAGTATTTTCGCATAGCCTTTGTACAAGAGGTATGGGAATCCTTTTCTGGGAGAATTCTACCATTTTTTCAAAGATCATGTGGGAAAGTCGGGATACAATGACAGCAGAGAGAACAAAAAGCTTTTCACATCAGCATTCTTCCTTCTGTATTAAGGACCACTGCAAAAACATATTTCATTTTAACATTCTTTAGCAGGGAACAGCAGAATTTATTGGGATGCCTTGAGGTTGGTGATAAAACTAAGCTAAAGCAGCTGTCAAGTTTGCTTGCAGTTGAAAACACAGGTTAGAGCTGGATGTACTTTTGCATGCCTGGAGAAATCTGGTACCTGTTTGTCAATTGTTAGTTGGTGTGCTACGATTTGCACAGGGCTCCAGTAAAAAACGAAACAAAAAAAGCCGAATCCACACAGACTTGGTTTATTTGTGAATTACTACTGCAGGTGTCCGGGTTGCTTTATTTGGTTAGGACACAGGAAAACAAAAAACAGCGCGTAAGATGAAATACATAAAGTAACGACAAGGTTAATGTTTTAAGAGCGCCACAGCCAGGTTGCACAGAAAAAGCAACCAAAAAAAACCAGTTGAAAAAGAGCAACGAAGTTCTCGCTCCCTCCAATGCACTTGAAACTGAGGCGGTTTTGTTAACAACACTTAGGCATCAGCATATATCCATTGCAAATGAGCGTACGCATTAGCTACAAGCAGCCTATGCCGCATCAGGGTGCAAGACAAATCTCATACAGTGAATATGAGTGTATAAATTAAGTGGATCTGGAAACATACGTGAGAGTAAAAATTATTTGAAAATTGCATAAATTTGATGCAACTATAGCCTAAGAAAATTGTCACAGAAGGCTTCTTTTATCAAAATTACTAGTACTTTTAAAGGCCTTGTTATTAAAAAAAGTCTCTGTTTAATGATAAATATACATTTTATTACTCACTAGGCTGTCAACATTAGCACACACACACATATATATAGCAATGCTATGTTTTTTGAAACTTCAGAACAATAACATTTTTTATAAACAATGGACTTCTGTGCAGTATTTTCATCTATCCTGTGATACCATTTCCTGCCCTCTGTTTTCAAGCATTTTGGTAGCTCATGTGTTAAATCTGGACAGTGTCTTGCTTCCACACCCAATACAGTCATTTCCTGTAGCCCTTATTACAAGGCTCTGCCAGTCCTTCAGAAACGTTTCACGCTCTTAATGGTGCTGTCAAAAACAACAAACTTCTTGCCATTGCCTTCTCTGCATAGGATCATTCAGCAGCAGCGCAAGCAGAGTCAAGGCTTTTGCTGTCAAAAAGCTGAGCTTTTTTTTTTTTTTTTTAAGAACAAAATATGAGCATTTAGAAAGTGTCACAGATGAGAAAAACAAAAATGTCATAGATGTGCAATACTAGAGGTGTTAATTAACAAAACAGCGGCCCTCTGATAGATGGTCTGTGCTTGTTCTTCATAACAAAAACTGAGGTACCTAGATCTATTACTCATATGCTAGGGCTGCAAACACGCTGTAGAATATTCATTTTTATATGAAATTTGAAGTACTTTTCTGCTGTTAAAAATCCAGTAAGAAAAATCAAATTACAAGTAAAGACTGAAAGGACAACTAAAAGCACAGTATTTCTTAGAGTAAGGTCATGAGCCAGAAACAGATAATGATTACAGGATGATGCAACTGTACGGCAGGTTGCCAAACTGAAGCTTTAATAACCCCATAAATTCCACTTACTATTTTGTGCAATACAGAAGTACCTTCTACCCCACTCACTATAGATCTTCCCCCAAACACAATTACTTTTATATTTAAAAACACTATCAAATTGAAAAATAGAAACAGGATATAAAATCCTATGCAAGTGTAAATTAAAACTACTGCTTTTACTTCCATCACAAGGGTTTTATTAAACTGTAATTTTTTTTAAAACAGACTACAAAAGCATTTTCAAAATACATATTTGAAAAATAGACACCAATGCAGAGGATAAAAGCCCTCAGTTATAGGAGTGATTTTAAACAAAGATGAAAGTTACAATTTAATGAGATTCTATCACAATAAGCCCACTTCTTGTTTGGTCAAAAACTTGATTTAACCTTGAAATAGCTTCTTCTCTGAAGATACATACTAAAACCCAGCCATTTTAACAACTGTATACCAGTGCCTTCCGAAACTTAATACAGCTTAATCTCATTTATTGTCCTGCAGCCCAAGATGTAGCATTCAATTATATCAGGCAGGCTAATATTTCACTATATAAATCACATCACCTGGAAAAAAATGAAGACACATGGATGGAAAGTACTCCATGTTCTTATTACTACTCTAGGAATAAATTGGTGTCATTGATGCCATTAATCTTTTTTTGTGCTTCAGCTTTGGAGAAACTGAATGGTTGTAAATAGTTGGGGAAAATAATCATGGGCAACCAAATAAGCAATACAAGATAAAGCAAAGATGAGAATTGTAGTACATAAATATTTATCCATCAAATAACTTCACATAACCTGACAAAAGTTACATACTTTGAAATTTCTAAGTAAACTGGAAATGGTGTGGGCAAGAAGACATCATTTCAGTACGTGCACAGAATATGAAAAGTCTATTTAAGAAAAATATTTACATGTAGGATCTTCAAAGAAAGTATTGCAAGTAAATATGACAATAGCATTTCTACGTGCCTTACTTGCTATAGTTGCTTTTTTTGGGAGAATGCTAACTTCAAACAGAAATTAAATAACCTGCAGTTTGTACCACTTTCAGCTCCACACAACAGAAATCACTGCTGATTTTAACATCACTTCAGAAAGCCTAAGTTCTCCACTAGCGTTGGAAATACTTTATTACAACATCTCAAAGAAGTTAAATATATTTATCCCCACTGACCTTTAAACATCAATAATGCTATGCTTAGAATTAAAGTATACCTTTGACAACAGTGTAAGATTTTGGAACCAGATAACCATAAAAGACTTATACTTTTAAAGGCAGTATTTCAGATATTAAAACAAAACAAAAGAGAAAGATAACGCATGACTT